TTAAAGTTGCTAGGAAACAGAATTACCTAGCAAGAACAAGAGGCCGTTGTACATCCACGGGGAAATGTTGGCTCTTTTCCACCATAAATCAGAATTTCTGATTTATAGTGGAAATATCAGCTGAGAAGATAAAATCCCTGTAAAATAACTCTGCACTCTGAAATCAAGGCTCAGTCCTACAGCCACTATTTATGCAGTGATTCTCAGCAGTGCATGACTGCAGTTCGTATTTCAGCATCAGCGGGGGCCGTTCAGTGTCCGGCACGGCACTAGGCACTTAGCAGAGAACAATAACCATCTCCAGAGAGAGACCCAGCTTGGATTTCACATCAGCTAGGATACAGCATAAAATAGAAGCCAGATCTGGACCATCCCTGTAAAGCAAAGGTTTGTAGATTGGGCTTAGGAAAAAAACACAACCAGTTTGAGCTCTGTAAACAGTAGCTGGAAGCAGACGCTTGGGTCTGTGGGCTGAAAGGAGAGCTGCCCCTAGTTCTTGCATTCAAATTCTAGTGAACATGACTTAGCAAAACGACTCTTTTCCTTCTTTTCTCCTATAGCCAAGGGTTCTTTAGTTAAAACAGTAAAGAAGTTGCTTTCATCCATGCCTCTGCAGCTTCACCGGTTCATACAGGCATAAACCAGAGCAATAAAACAGAAGAGCACTTGGTACCCATGGTGCCTGTGCAGGACACCCAACAGGATGAGCATTGAGGTTGGAGCTGGCTCCAGCCCTCTGCCTTGCTCTCTTTGGAGACTTTCTTCTTTCAAGGTGTGGCTCAGAATAGTTTCTCCTTATTGTTTATTTGTGTAGCTTTAACAGTATATATACACATATATATCCTGAGCCAAAGTCAATAGGAACCTTCCTCTTAACTTCAGTCTGGTTTGCCCTTCAACCATGTTGAGGGAGTGTGTTTGGCCCCAAAGAATTTATGGTCCTAAAGCAGAGCAAGCTCAGAGAGTACATAAATGTATTTTAAATTAAGGGGAAAAGAAAAGAAAAAAACCAAACAAAAATCCCAACAGGTTTATGTGTACTGGTACATAGGCAAGAGGCTAAAACTGAATCAAAAACATTGGTCCTGAAAAAAAGTTTAAAGAAATCAGAACAGTCTCGCTAAGTGCTGAATTATCTAATGGACTAATAGTAACTAACTAGCTAAGATTATGCCTGGATTGTAGTCAGAGCTGCAACTCCAGCGGGTACAAACGTAAGCAAGCCATTTTAAACTGCCTAGCTTGGGAATCAGTAGTGCTGCACCTGTGCAACACCAGAGGCTCGAAAAACGCATCCAGGGCCACAGGTGAATGCTGCGGTGGCTCGTTCATGTTGTCTCTGACTTGCTGCAGCTACGGTGTTGGCAGTGCTTGAACTGGCCCAGGAAGTGGAGCTCAGTTACTTCCGTGAGCTGCAGTCAACTGGTGAAGCTGTCTAGAGCAGGCCAAACACTTCCACAGCCGCAGGCGAGAATTCTCCCCAGGGGATTTGTTATACGTAACCGCAGGACATACAGGGCCTGATTTTCAGAGTTTACATGCATGATGTCTTTACATGCTGCCTCTTTTCTCTCTTCTTTTTTTTAAAAATGAAAACAAAACAAAAATATAAACCCTCACCAAGCTGCTGTGACTTACTCATATATTTTCATCTTTTTCACTTTATTCTGCTGTTAACTCCATGTTACTATCTACTGAGTCCTAATGATGCAGGTGTGATTGTATCCAGTTTTCCTGAAGAAACAAGAGGACTTTGTTAGCTTCTACCATTTTTAGTGAGCACCTGTGAGCCCCATGCATAACTGGGTTTGAGTAAGACTGGTTGGTGCAGACTAATGACTAGGGCAGGTGCCTTTGGGAAAGCAGGTGGGGCTTATTTGGAATTTCAATGGCCTGTCAAAGTCTGTCACCATTGGCTGTCTCTTAATTTGAATTAGGCAGTAAATTCATATTAATGAGAAGGAAAGGGTGGTTTGTTCTTTTTTTTTTTTCTTCCACCTTACAGGAACTATGGGGAATACATTGAGCATCCCAGAGGAAGCTGAAGAAGACAGTACGTGCACAGTAAAGAGCTATCAGGTAAGCAAGAGCTGCCCACTCTCATCTTCCCTGGTTATTGCAATTTTCAAATCCCATGATGTACCCAGTCATAACAGCTGTGTTATTTGCTGTTTCAGGCTCTATCTGAATCTCCTGACAACATGAAAAATGGATCTGTTGCATTTGTTCAGCATCATCCTCCTGCAATGAATGGTGAAGGTATGTACTGGGAAAAGGTGGCATATTTGCACTTCTTTTGCTATCAGACAGGCAGAGAGAGGTTTATACTGGAGCAACAATAAGTTGTTGAGTGCTTGGTCTCAAATTAAAAGATGGGGCCATGCTTCAGCTCTTGCTTGTGAATCAGTACATGTGGTTTTTCAGAAACTTGCAAGTTTAAAGATAACAAAGAATAAAATTGGAAAATATTTCCAAAGTCCTCTGGAAGCTGTTTCTTTAATTGTTCTAAGAATTTGGTTCTGAATCTGGTCCACAAAAAAGCAGTTTTCTAGACTGAAGATTTTGGTTAGTGTGAAATATTATAGGGCAGGAGTGGTTTGGCACTGGTCCCTTTAAGGTTGCTGCACAAACCTCAGGGTGTCCTGTGATAAACTACCTCTGCTTGGGCTCTGGTGGAAATAATGCCTCTAACAAGCCTTGGAGGAATTATTGCTGCAAGGAGCACAAATTGGGGCTCTTGAAAGGAGCATAATGAAGCAACGGCACCAACGCAAGGATCAGCAGCCTGTTAGTGAGGTTTTGTGTTTGTGGGGGGCACAATGAAATGTTGTTTTGCAGACTGGAGTAAGAGAGCAGTTCATGTGTTGGAAGGAAGAGCAAGTTGTCTTTAAATAATGTCATGGCATCCCTGCTGCTAGCCGGGAGTTACCATGTGATATCGCTGTGCTCAGGTGCCAGACTTGAAATATCCACTGGTGTGGAAACTGATAGTCTGGAGGGGATGTAGGAGACTGTTAAAGAAACAAAAAACCCAACACCACACACAAAACAACAAGGGGATTGAATGCATTGAAAAAAGTAAACTTATGCAGGCTAGAAACTAAATTTGTTGAGCTTCAAAATATTCCCTAACTACTTTGGAGGAGTAACCTTTGCGAGGCAAATGCTTGTGCTGTTGATTGGGCTGCTTTGCTTTGCTAACCCTATTCTCTTGTCACCGTGGGCACAACTTGGGGACTATACAGAAACTGGGCTGTTATATAGAGAGCCACTAGAATTTTCCGTTTATAAAAGAAGTCAGTAATGTGCCCTAGACTTAAGGGTCTATCCCCAAATTGCCTAATAATGATGCCTAAAGACAGGCAGGCTAGAACGGTACAAAGCTTTGCAGAAATGGAGTATCTTGGGGTGGATAGAGGAGGTAAGAGTAATGGGCCATAAAAATGACTATCGTATTGCTCCAGGAAACACTGATCTGCTTACCAATGAGCTCCATGCGTCTCACTTGATTTAAGTTTTGTAAGGAGCTTGAGGAAGGCATTTCAAGGGATACCTGGGGTTGGCACAACAGGAGTTCTCCCTGCTGATCTGGCATTTTAGCTCCATGACTCTGAGAGGTGCCCCATGTTGTTACAATATTGACTGTAGGAAAGGGTGATGGAATTATGCAAGCCCAAAAGAAATGTATTGGTATAAATTATTTAAAGCCCAGAGTTATAATGTATTAAGGTGAAAGAGCGGGGGGAAAAAAGAGAGTAGAAAACTGTTCTGGGGGACTTCTTTTACTGACTGCAATAAAAGACATTTTTTTGAAACATTCTGCATGCACTCAGCCTTCTGGGGGTGTTCTGAGCAGTTAAAACTAATAAAAGAAAATTTTGCAAAATTCTTTGCAAACTGGTTACAGAAAATGAAATAAAATTAAAAATAAAATCCAAGTCCTAGCTACATGTTCTCAACCACAAGATTGTAAAGTCTTAGAAACCACCTCTGCATTTTTGTTTTTGCATGTGAAACCATCTTTCTGATCCTTTCAGTAGCAATTTCAACAAATGATATGATAGAAATGTGAGTGCCTTTTTGTTAATCTAAACATTTCCATCTTGTTCTCTGATTTCTGGTCCTGTGTTCTTGAGTAGGTGCATTGCTTTGACTTCAAAGATACCAAACAATTATTTGTCAACAATGAAATATGTATACAGATAGTTTTTCTGTCCTGTTTTTCATCTTGGCTGGGAAAAATACCATAAGGTGGTAGGCATTATACCTGCAGTGATGTTGTTATAACATAGTTGCCTCTGGACCTGTGGTTTTGCAGTGAAATGCCACTTCTGGTCTTGAGCTGGGCCTTAGTGGTACCTTTTATATTAGAAGTTTACCTTGCTCATATTCAAGAGGTAGTAAACCTTAGAGGCAGTAGATCTAATCTGCAGTGAGATCTTTGTAAACAAAATTTAATGATGTCAACTGCCTGTGTTTGAATTCTAGAGAATTTAGGATATAGCACAGTAATTTATAGAGCTAGATAAGTGACAGCTGGGAATGCAGCATGGCTGACAACATTATGACCAAAAGGTCAGTATTATTTACCAGAATTTATTCAAACTGTGTCACGAGACTGATGTTGTAACCCTGACCACCTCTCTCCTGTTACTGTTATAGGATGTATTGGATATTACTCAGCTACTGCCAGGGCAACAAGAGTGGGGCGGGGGGGTGATGACTTGTTTCTCTTTCTCTGTAAGCTAATGAAATAAAACAGATATGCCCCTATTATGTATAAACTGGGGGTGTTATTGTAGAATTTGAATAGTTGGGGGGAGGGGGGGGTATGGGTAAGTCACTGCTTGGTATGTGCATCCCATTTCAGACCTGTTTGGGTGGTGTTCATAGCAGGGCAGCAAGCGGGTTTTTGAGGGATCACACCAGTGGCAGGCTGGGCCCTGGGCTCGCTGTGGAAAGGTGCCTGTCAGCAGCTGAGCCCCACTTCCAATGTTGACATCTTGAAAATCTGGTGTGAACTACATGGTCTGAGCATTAAAAATATGGCTCCAAGTAGTTTTGAAAAGTTATCTCCACATATTCATGGGCAATTGCTCTCATCCATAGACATGTGTGTCTCTCCTCACCTTTCAGCACCTCATTAATTTCTCCTTCCACCTCTTGTTGGCTTTGGAGCCTTTTTGAGCAGCATTCAGGCAGCACTCATTTGGAGCAGCATTGCTTCAGTTCGCAGCTCTGCAGATTCAGGCGCGTTAATTTTACTAGTGTTTTCCTTGCCTTGGATTTCTCTCTGTTTTCAAAATAGAATAAACCCCAACAATTCTCTCCAGTATCTGTAAGGAAAGAAAATATTACTTTATTGTTCATTGTTAAGAGAAGCCTCTGAGCGTGCTACACCCAGTTCAAAAATCTAAGCCTAGGCAAAAATAATCAAAGACTGGTATGGCAATATGCAGATGGTACTGATTACAGTTCAGAATCTCTGTTCGATGGCTAATTTCCTAATGCCATCTAGCTATAAGAGGTCAGTTTAAGCGGTTGCCTACTAGAAAATAAAAGCCTGTAGCTGTGTGCTTCTGCTGGTGTAAACCAGCAGAGTTCTGGGAAGTGAATAAAAGCCAGATGATTTACACTGTCTGAAGACCTAGAAAATAAGTGTACATTTTACTCTTAATATATAAAATGAAGCATATGGCATTGTTTTACTTAAACGGATTACCTAATTAATGTAATTACTAAATCAGTTTGAGTAGCAAGTTGAAAAATTGGACTGTCCTGTGTTGATATTACTTGTATTTTAACTGTTTTGTTTAAAAAGCAGCTAAAATCATTAACTGTTTAGATACCATTGAAATCTCACTGGTTTGTGTAGTGTAATCAAGGTCTTGATGAAATAAAAGTGCAAGTGCTGTTTGGAGATAGAGGTTATTACTATAGAAAAGGTAATGGATAGTATTTCTAAGATTAAATAATGCAATAAATAGTACTGTAATCTATTTTATGGTCATAAAGTGAGCACTTCTGGAGAAGACAAAAGAGCTGCAGAAAAGGCAAGTGAAGCAAGAGGATTTTATGAATAGTGTTAGATGTATGTTTGTGGTCTTTGTCTTGTTAGTTTGCTTTTCTGTGATTGCCAGTGATCTGACCATGTGCTATGCATTAAATAGTATAGTTGATAAATGAGTCTATGAAATCTATATCTGCTAATAGAATGAAAAAAGAATCCAGAGAGTTAACTTAATATGACCAGAGGAAGTAATGCTATTTGGAAGAGCCCCGTCACCATCTGCTTCACATCTGGGTGAGCAGATTGGTGACTGGTTCCCTACATTTGCTGCTTCTGCTCAAACAGGCTGACAGATGTGTGGACTTAGGGATTCTTTCCATGACTTGCCTTTCCTGCTCCTATTGATTATCAGGGCTGCAGACACTGCACAGAGCGCTAGCATCCACCTTCTCCTCCTGTAATGCCATTTAAATAGTAGTGGTGCCCTTGCTGCTACTTCATGACATGTTGCTTTGCAAGCAAAAGGATAGCAAATTTGATCTTGACTTTTCCTAATGTTTTGTGTTGGTCTTTTTGAACTTTAAGTAATATAAGTAGTTGGTGGACAAGTAAAGGGAAGGTGGCCAGAACTAAAAGCCGTATCTCTGAAATTTGCACTACATAGAGCAGAAATCTATCAGGAATGCAAAATGGGACAAAAATTGTGTGTATTTGGGTGGCAATTACATGCAGGTAAAAACAATGACCTGCTCGTAAAAAGAAAGATTACACAAGGAAGAAAAGTTCAGTTAAGATGCAACTCCTTTGTTTTAGAGGATAATTCTGATTCGGCAAATTCTGCTACTAGCCGGTATCTAACAGAAATGGGTGTATTGCAGTAACTCTGTGTGCCTGTAAGGTGTAAAACACAATGCATTGTCATTATTTTTTTTTTAAGAATGATCATTACTATTCTTGCTGCTAGCTTCTCTTCCCCTATTTCCATTCATTTCAGTAAATCTGTTAGGTAAATAACAATGCTAGTTAACTTAGCAAAACAAAATTATTCTTAGAGCATAAATGTACTGTCAACTTCATTTGCATGGAATAGTTGAGCAATACTGCAAAAGAATACTAGTATGTTTTTTCTTTTTTAAGAAAGGGGAAAAAAGTCTTGTCTTGGAATTCTGTAATGCATCTGAAAATTCAGTCATTTAGTCTTGTCACAACGGTTTTTGGGGGTCTCCCATACAAACATGAGGTACACTTGGAGATCTGCAAATTCTACATCTACTGTAGCATTATGATACAAACTCAGTTCTAAATAACAGAAGGGAAAAATTAATCTACACAATATCTATAAAATATGTCAGAAATGTAAATTAGAAAATTCACTTTTTGTTGCTAGGTATTTAGATTTTTAAGCCTATTATTTGCTGCAGTAATTCATTCAGGGCTATTATAATCCATTGTGCTGGCCTACACTGATGGACTTCTTAGTGCCAAATGTTGCCTTGTAGCCCTTAATGGTTCCTTCATGGCCATTAAACTCTATTGTCTCCATGATTATCTGAACTCCAGGGAACAAGATAATGCTGTGGTACTATAATTACATTGCTAAGTAAAATATCTGTTTGTAACTGGCTTGTATTCAAAATAGTCAAAGATACTAGAACCATATTTATAGCTAATGGCTTGCTCAGTTCAGTTTCAAAAAAACTGGGGTTTTTTTTCTATTGTCAAAAGCAACAACATGAGAAAACATTTTCTCCTAGCGTTTATTTTATGGCATGTTCACATGCTAGTGGCCTACAGGAGGAGATGTCTATGCTGAAGACCTTGCCAATTCAAGTTGTTCTCATTCAACAGCTAAAAATTACTGGCACCATGAAAGAGTAAGATAAAAGACGGGAGGTAAGAAGCTGCCCATGTAGGACATCACAGGACCTTATTTTATGTGTTCCCTATGTGTCAGTATTAGCCATGAGTGTGCATATAACTGCTGAAAGCAGACTAGCAAGCAAAGGCTAAGGAAAAGGAGCATGTGTTAAGAAACCATCTGAAGGATTTAACTTGGGCAAACTGAGCATCAAAAATAGATGCCTACCTCGTACATGGCTTAGCCTGCTGCCAGGAATAAAAAGAGCAAACCAAGCTTCAGAGAAAATCAGGTTATGGTGGAGGACGGGGGAAGGCAATCTGGAAGTGCTGGACAGAATTGCTTTTGGTCCCACTTGAGGGAGTTTGGCTGCCATCTGTTATGTGCACCAGGCTGAAGTCTGGTTTTACTCCCACTGATTAGCAAAAGCAACTCAGCTGACAAAAGCTTGGGCAGCCTTTTCATTCATGTCGGACTGGCGGCTCTGAACTTCCTTTCATGTCAGTCGCATCCTCGGAATTCCCGCCTGCATCTGCTGTTCCCTCTGGTCAAGTGTTGCATCTTGGTCCCAAACACATGTGAAATAGGTGCTTTGCTGCAGGCACTCTACACCGATGCTTTCCAAGCTCTGCTACCTGCCCATGGGGTTCTGGGTACATTGGGTCCCATAATGAACAGAAACAATTCCATGCCTGTGTGGTGAGTTTTGCAGCTCGCATGGTCAACTTAAAGCCCGTGCTCGCCTTAAGGCTTTGTCCATTATAACATTTTAGTTGCTGGTTCTGTCTATTAAAACCTAAGCACTTGCTTCTTAAAATTCAGTGCTAATTCTGCAGACTTGGTCTCATTCTGTGTCAGCAAACATGGTGCTGTTCTTCATCCTCAGCCTATGGAAGTGCTTAAAATGCTCAGGTCAAGGATATGAAAGGGAGGGGAAGAAAGTCCGTCAGCAATTCTGAGCAGGGAAATGGTATTGACATAACATTGCGCTAACCATTACTTTTCTCTGTACACTTTTTCTTAAGTCAAGGAAAAAATGTTTGTCTAATTTAGCAACTTTCAAAAAAAAAAAAAAATCCTTATTTTGAGTGTGTTCTTACAGAAGAGGGACTTTGTGCAGTTGTAGTATTGGTTTTTTAACATATCCTGATGAAGTGAATGGAAAGGAAGGACAAATCTTCTGTAGTGTGACTGTCTTTTGTTAAATACTTGAAAGGAAAATGCCTGTGTTTTGGTAGTAGTAGGAAATGCAATCTCACAGCAGAGCTGTAAATTGTATATTGATTGTAGTTTCAGAACAATTATTAGTCTCATTCAGAGTGAGCAGCTTTGATCTCCTTTCAGACCTGGCCTAGAATTTGGGAGGCTTTGCTTCTATTCCTAATTCTGCCTCTGGATTGCGGAATAATTTTGGAAAGAATGGCACTTCTGTGCCTCTAAAAACAAAAATATCATGCACTTTTCATCCAAATACTGCAATTTCAAAGCCTTTCTCCTTCACAGTTTGCTGCGAATATGGCATGAGTCAAACTTCTCTTCAGCCCACCACAGTAGTGTCTCCTCTCTGGTGGTGGGATCTGCTTTGCCTGGTGTCTGAGCAGACTTTCCCTGAAACAGTTTGAACTGTTTTGACACAAGAGACACGCTGCAGAGCTCATGCCGGTGATATTTTCCAGGTCTTTCATTCCTTCCATGATAATTAGAGATAAAAGGAGCTTGATAGGTTCATGAGCTACTTTTTGTTTGGTTGGTTTTCTTAATGATGAGCTTATATTCCTATTTTTATGCTAAAGGCAGTTTTCCTGTGTTTCATTTTTTATCTGTTACATAAAGCAGAAGTTCAGCATCTATTACAATTATTTTCCAGGGGATATTGTTTCTGCTTTCTTTAGCTGGGGAAGGGTTTGCTTTTTGCTTCCTTCCCAAGTTTCCAACTATAATTAGAAGTTAGAGTGCTTCAGTTCTTTTTCAGTTAGTACTACAGGAGGCTTAGGAAACTATAACTGACACTTAGTGGCCCTGACTGAATAGCTTGAATAGGTGGTTGAGTAGCTGGTTATTTGTACCTTTTCTTTGCATGTCAGTATGTTGAAATAGGTGCTCATGAAATATTGCAGAAGAATATTACTGGCAAAGAGTCTTCCCAGTGTGAGTTATTTTCTTATATGAATAGTAACAGAGAGAATCCAGGGAAAGAAATTTTCCCTATTAAAGCGCACACAAAAAAGTGAAAATCTATTTACCTGGACAGAAGAGGTTGTACTGAGGTGCTCTGGCCCCTCTGCATGCTTGCGTATGCCCAAAACACAATAAGAAAGCAAATATCAGATTAAAAATGTTAGAATTAGAGTAGTTAGGTACCAGTTGCCGGGGAGCTGGCAAAATGCTGGCCACAGTTGTGAATCCTGCCACCGCAGCCCTTACTTTGGCAGCTGTTGCCTCCACTGCTGGCAAGTATTTCAGTAAAGTCACTTGAGATTCACGCTGGCATGCCGGCACGCTCTGGCACTTCTCATCTCTCGGGTTTATGGAAGCTCCCGCCTCCTGCTAGTCAGGACCAACCCTGAACTGTGAAACAAGGGGCCAGCGGGGACTCACAGTCACCAAATTAAGGCCGTGGGGAAGGGGCCGTCAGGGCTGGATGCTGGGGCCCTGCTCTCCTCCTGCGTTCGCCCCGGGACGTGAGGGCACTGCTGCAGAAGGGCAGTATGAAATGGGCACAGCCACGGGTTGGACGGTGCCGGCGGCTGCTTGCGTGGTGTTATGCAAAATCCCTGAGGGTGGAAAGTTGGGGTAATTTTGCTGTGAAAAGCTAAGGGGTAGTTTTGAAAGCCGTGATCTAAAAATGTTCCGCTTTCCTTATCTCAAAAAGGAATTTAAAAAATGAAACTGAACGCTGAAGATCTGTGCTGTGGATGACAGGCATTTTAGGTTTTGTTGGTATCTGAGGTTTTATTTCTGTTAAAGTAAAATGTGAAGGGCATAATATTGACTAGACTGTTACAATTATCATCTGAAATAATTTCAGTTTTACATTGAAACTGACAATTTTAAAATTCTAATTTAGCAAGTCAGTTTGAGACTGTCATTTTCTCAGTTATAATTAACTAGATCTAAAATCATCCTTGAAATCTGTGGTGGTGATTGACAGGGAAATCAGATATATATTCTAGTCAAAGTAGGGAAGAGAAGCTCAAGCTGAGGGGGAGCTGTAAGGCTTACCTCTCGACAAGCCTCCTCTTGTTTGCTGGGGTTTCACACCACATAATCTGCGATTCAGTCTCCTGTCCACAAAACAGATACAAAAAGTGTTTTTTTCTTTTGTCTCTTGTTTCTTTTGTCTTCTGTAAAGCAGAAGCCTTCTCTTCCTGTCTGCATATACAGTATTAGGGATTTTTACCTCAGCTGTATTATCAAAGTGCTGTTGTAATAGAAAAATCATAAAATATACTTTTAAGATGAAAGATTTTTTTCACATCTAAAGTGTGATGGCATGTGTGTACACAAGGGAGAATTATTTGTGAGAAGTTTTTGGGGGGGTGCAGGGGGCAAGAATGCGATTAAGAACCATATTGTTTGTGGGGAAAAAGAGACAGAAATGTAAGGATAAGAAGCCCAGCTCAGATGTGATTTATAAGTATTCAAATCAGGCTTAAACTAACCTGCAGACAATAGAGCAGTGCAAGTAGAAACTGCACTATGGTGAGTAGGCAGCAAGGCAAGGAACAGTGTTGGAAAAATGAATGAAATAAGTTATGACTGCAAAGCCCTGTGGGGAGTTTGGCAAGCCAGGAAACTAAATCAGTCCTTGCAGTTTCCATTCTTTTTTCCCATTTAGTTTTTACAGAGGAAAATGCAATACATTAGTACATAACTTTATCTCAAAATTGATTGATTTTTTTTGCATATCACTAATTTTAATGGGAAAGTAAAATATTCTCAGTATGTCCACTGGGCTAAGTAGTCAAAAACCTGGGCCGTTATCTGACTTTGGCCGCTGAGAGGGGGCTGTGGAGAACATAAAATTTGCACCGACTTCAGTGAGGAACGACAGGAAAGAAAATCAGATGGGCAGGTCTGATAGATGAGCGGCAGCTCGTATTTAGCACAGCAAGACAACAGGGTCTCTAAACAAGCTGCACTCTGGGTGGTCCTCCCCGAGGTTCCGCGTCTCAGAATTAGCTTAGTAAAGAGCGAGGTCACCATGATTAATTGTACAACCAGTATAACTTCATTGCTGTGCTGGATAATTACTGTTTTATGCTTCTGTTTGTAGTGGATGCAAAGGCAAGTGTTGCATGGGATAATGTGGCCGTTTCTTCCCCAAAGACAATGGAGCAGAGCCCCGTTCCCGACGCGGGCGGGCAGAGTCTCGGGAGCGCTGCCAGGAGAGCTCTGCCATCTGCTAAATCCCGCTCTGTCTTCGCGTTTTCATGGTCTGTACCAGGGCGTACTGAAGATCCAGCTACAGATTCATCAGTTGGATCAGCGAAACTTGATGTCAGCTCAGAGGCGCCTGGAGCGAACAAAGCACCGAGTGACAGCGTGGAGGTTCCCGCGGCAGCTGCGCAGGAGGAAGGCACACATAAAAACCTGACCTGGGCCCCGCCAGCAGCATCGCTTCGCGACATTGATCTCACGGCATCAGTGACACCTGAGGGAGAGGATGCGGCCACCTCAAAACCAAAACAAGTAACCTTCTTTGACAGGATCTTCAAACTGGAGAAGGGAAAGGAAAGGAGTAAAACGCAAATTGATACCCAGGAGGAAAGGCAGACTTCAGACCTTCCTGACGGGCACATCACAGCGAAAGAGGCTGCTGGATTACAGAGCACATCAAACAGTGTCCCACAGGGGAAGGCAAGTGCTTGAGTAGGAATATCCATTTCACTCTTAATGAAACCTCTTAGGAATATTAATAGCGCAGGACCACTTGATGTCATGATGGCTGTGTGAATGAATTGGTGTTGCTCTTAAAATTATTGCCGGCAATATTATTGCCACCCCACCCAGGGGTGGCTGAATAGAGGTATGGGAGAAGAACCTATGGCGGAGTGGTAATAGCTCTGATGTCTGCCTCATGACTAAGTGCTGGCATCAGACCTCAAGTTTAAATGCATTTGTATTTCTCCCAAAGGTTTGGGCAAGACAGCTGTGTTCATGCTCCAATTGGCAGGATGGTGAACAGCAGCCAGCTACAAATGAAAGCAAAAATACCTGAAAGTAAGATAGTTTCTTATGCTTTAGGGGCTTGGAGTTTGACACTGGATGGTTTTAACAAAGTTCTTTAGCATATTTTGTGCCACTCTTAGAACAGTCATTCTTCTTGAGCAATAGCTGCTTGTTGCATACCTTACATACCAGAATAAGGAATATTATGCAGTAGCAATTTTTGCACTCTTGGCTATCGTGATTTTTTTTTTAGTCAAGGAAACATGGTCCCTTGGAATTTATTTTACAGGATGAGAATGTGATGTAAGAAATTAAGTAACTTATCTGAGAGAGAACACTAATCAAAGGAGCTGAAAACAGACGTAAGTTTAGATTTTACACTTCCTGCAAAGTTTGATATCGGCAAATATACTATAGGATTAACTTTCAGGTAGTTAACGCTCAAAAAGTCCATCCCCTGGATGGGGATAGGCGGCATAACTCTCGCTAGCTCTGCTGGAGAGGTGCCAGTGTGCACTAATCGGCGATTGAGCTCAAATCCTGTCCAGTGTCAGGAACAGGAGGATGAAACTAGCTGCATGGCACCCTTATCAGAATCTACATGTAAATGCATTTTAATAGTAACTGCTTTTATTGGCCTAGTCAGGCTTACAAATAAGACTGCTGTATGATTGCTAATGCTTTGAATTATGTTGAACATAGTTCGCAAATGCTCACTGTTTGCACTGACGACGTTGCAGGCTGTCCCCAAAAGTCTCCTCAACTTCTGTTCTTCTACCTTGTCTTCTCTATCTTATGCCTCCTCAAATTTGAAGATCATGTTTCTTGTATAAACTTATAAATTGTAATTTTTTTCTAAAGATTAATTTGTAAGAATAAGTAGTTGCACTTTTGACCATTGCCCTTCAAAAGTGGCACCCATCACTAGTATATCAGACAGCTGTATACGTGCATTTAAAGAATCCATGGTCTCAACCTAGCAGAATATCAAGTCATTCATTACATAAACAGAACAGGGTGAATAATTCAGAATGAATAATCTATTCAGTTCATACTGGCACATTCTGTTTGTAGCTTATAAGACTGAAGCTTTTCAACACTGTAAATTCCTGCAGATATTTTTTGACTACTACACACAAAGAATAAGATTTGCCTGTGGCTTGCAAGAATTGTTACTTTTACAATCAAATGCAAAATTCATAATTTCCTATTTTGCTGTGATTGCAAACTACAGAGTGTGAAAGGCCACGGTTCGTGCTGTTGAAGTGGTACAGTGTGAAACTCTCTGTAATGAAATAACAATCTTAAGAGCTTTAACCAGAAGTCAGTTAAACATTTGCTGGTAGCAAATAGTCACATTGGGAAAGCTCAAGTAAGCAAGTGTTTCTAATGAGCAACCATCAGGGGACAGGACAAGATAATCTAAATCTTATTCTGCCAGTTCAAACAGACACTAGAAGCACTGTTCATTCAGATCAAGCTTTTTTAGATGAATAATAATAGCTTTCTTATTAATTTTGAATTCTGTTTCAGTCTTCAGCTTAAGCCTATCCACATTCTGAACCTCACTAATGGGAATAATTTGGAAATCCCAGGCACTTGTCAGCTGTAGGTTATGTTTGGGGGGTGTGTGTAAGTGTTTGCAGGATCCTAGCCCACACAACAGCTTTTTGGTGCCTGGGGTCCTGCTTGAGGACAGTCTTCTGTTTAACAGAAGTGTCTGTACATCTTTTACATGTGTGCTTAAAGCTGTACCACTGAAAAGTCTTTGAGGACTTACAAAATGAGGGTTCAAGTTGCTCAGTGTAAATGTGTGGCAGAACTGTATCACAGGGGAGAGTGAAATTTTAACCTTACCCTTGAATTTCTGGACTCTAATTTTTGCTTTTCATTCTTGAAATATGAGAAGGAGTATATGTTGGGGGCAGAGAGGAGTTAAGGGCCTTTTCTGGGAAAAATATATCAACTAAACACTTCTCATGTTGCCAAACTTTAACTCCATTTCTAAAACAAAAGCTGTGGCTCTGCCTTGCAGCACAGTTGCCTTCTGTTCCCTCTAAAGTTGCTAGTTCTCATGTAGGATGGGAGAATGACCAAGTCTAATTTAATTGCTGTTACTGTAGTAACTACAAACTGTTACCAAATAATCATACTAAAAATCTAGATATTGCTGCCAACAGTTTCTTCTTTTTCTTTTTTTGGTGGATTATGACTTGTATCTGTAAAAGCTAAAAGCAAAGCAAAGTTTCCCTGCATTGAGTGCCAACACAAAACAAACAGCATTGCTGGTAAGTAAGAGAGAGGCTCCACAGTTGTAGCTTAAGAGCTGCACAAACATTCTGTGTTTGGTGAACCACTCTTTATTTTTGTGGTCTACAAAACTACATTCAGAACACAGCATAATTAAAACAAGGACAGAATTCATGAATTCATGAAGCATTTACTATGTAAGCCAAAGAAGAGATAAATTATATGCCTGAAATGTTTCACTGAGCCATGATTCATACAAACAAAAGTGCTGGCAGGAATACATTCTTTTGATATGTTTTTCTAATGACTGAGCTGAAACTACAGTATAAGTATTTAAGGTGTTTATTACCCCCAAATTTGACTCATCAAAGAAATGAGTCAAACATTTACATAGTATCTGTTAACTTCTAATACTGACTTTCTTCTGTTATTTCTAGAGTTTTCTGTCATTATTTGCCTCCGGGGCTTTGTGCAGCATATTATGCAGCAAGCTGCTACAGAGTTTTTTGTAGTTATTTGACTAGCTCTGAAAATGTGGTATCATAGGACTCCACGTTATCTTTCCCTGATTTATATGCTGATGGCCTGAGTCTGTGTTCCTTCCTACAGCAGTATTCCCGTGAAAGTGCAAGATGGATCACAGCATCTATCAAAGTCCAGATCTGAGGTGTATCTCGGTAGCTAATGGCAGCCTTGGCTTGGGAATCCTGGAGTAGGGTTCCTCGTGGAGTAGTGAGTCATTACGGGGCCCATTTGTGCTCTGCAAGTTGGAGTTCAGGGATTTTTGGATGGCGGTGTGTCGCAAGCTCTGCACAGTCTGCAGTAGCTTTCACTTCTGCAGGGCAAAGTGTGGCTTTAGCAGGGAGCTACCCTGGCACAGCCAGTGCTGCCCGTGGTGGCACCGCTCACCTCTGCCGTTGCCCCAAGTGGTATCTGCTGCTGCTCACAGCTGTTCGCTACAGCGCTTGGCAAAAAGATCCCTCCCTCATAAATGGAGTGCAGCCCAACACCAGAGCTTGGGCTTGTGTGTGTGAAAAAAATAATTTGCTTACTTTTGTTTGATTGCATCAAGTACTTCAATTATGAAGCTAGTTTTGTTTAGCAACGTACCTTCTGCCTCCTGCTTCTTTGGTCTCTTGCCTCACGCCTTTGTTGCCCCTTTAATATCTGAAATAGAGCCAGCATTTTTCATATGATCAGCGCTCTTTAGATGGCATCCCTGGAAGCAGGGCTGCCGAAGCCGGCATGGCCGCGCATGTTCTGCATGGGACATATTGTTCTTGGAGCCACTCTGGCCCGTAACTGGCAGCTGGACAAAGTGGTGTGTTAGACCCTTGTAAGAAACTTCTAAATAGCCTGTTGAAGCACTCTGAACTACTGTGCTGTGTTTCTTCCTGGGTAAACTTGGAAAACGGTGGGTGGAGAGTTAGACAGAAGTCTGTTCTTGCAAGTAAAACCTTGCATATTTTAACTCCTTAAATGCTGCATGGAGGCTGGCCACTCCATGCTCATTTTTCCTGATGCCAAATTAGCCCTCTGAAGTTTTAAAACATTTATGCATGTTTAATCTACTCCTTCCTTTAGTGACCTACAGAAATGTATGTCCTCTGCAAATCCTATGCAAGTATTGTGGGGGTTTTTAATCGCCCAGTACTGGGAAAGGTTCTCAAGATTACAACTTTATTTTATCTTTCACGAACAACTATGTCTAATTGGTAGGTTAGGAAAAACCCCTTGGTGTCACTTAGACCTCCAGGCAGTCTTTCAGAGCAGTGATTCAATGATGCTGTTTACTGGAGACACCTGGACAGGCTCATCAGTTTTATTTCTTATCTTGATTTTTCCTCTGGGGTAATCTGGGCATCTCGTATCCCAACAACTGCTTCTCTAGTCACTGTTTCCTAAGTGACCAGATATGTGCTGCTGTCTGAATAGTTGGGGGTGATAACTTCTGCTGAAGAATTATGGCACTGCTATGATTGCCTGTTCAATAGTGTCTCAAATTCCCTACCAAAGTCGAGGTCACCATTGTGCTAGGCACAATTTAATAACAATTGACAGATCCAGCCCTGCACTTACAGTGTAGACAGATAGACAAAAGGGAGGAGGATTATTGGTAAAAGACTCGGATATTACTAGCCAGATGTAGTACTCTTAAATATTAAAAAAAGGAAATGCTGAATGGGACATGAAGACTTGTCTCAAGCTGCTCTCTCCTGCACAGTGTTTGTGTTGGCTTTACCTGTGCAGGCTTGAGGCAAAAGTGGCCAGAACAACAGGCAAATTCAGCATAAAAGGGTGCCAAGCTCTTCAAAACTGGTCCAAGAAGAGTTTTTTTAAAAACAAGACCCTTGTTTAGGTGTCTAAAGAGAAACTGAGTAACTTAATCTTACATATTGGTGAGCGCTTGAGCACTGGAAAACTATTTTTGGGCTCTGGGAACTGTAATTCCAGGAAGAGAGGAGGCAGCTCCATCTGGCTCAGAAGAATTACTTGGGGTTGTTGCTCTTTTTCTTCCTTTAATCTGTACCATGTTTGTCTTTGCTAGATAAAAATTATTTCTGGAATTGCAGAATGCAGAGTATCGGAAGCAATCTTTGTATGGTACAATCAGACACTGAGCTGTCAAAGGCCAAAATCTCAGCGTTTGTTCCTATTCACAAGTTCAGCCTTGAAAAGAGAAAAGCGGTGTTGTTTGGGATGCTGTGTGCAACTTTACTTGTGTTTGTTACACTTAGTAGCTGAGAACAATGTTCCTCCAACCAATGGCAAATGCTGAATGTATTAGAAAAGAGGGGAAAGAGATGTATAAATGCTCAATTGTTCTGAATACGTAGGCTGGAGAAGTATGGTTGGAATTAGGGTTGTGACTCTCAGAGCAACATAATGCAAGTCACAAAAGTTACTTTTGCATTCCACTGGAAATTAAGCAAGCTAGAGCTGAGGAAACTCTGCCTCCCCCCCCTGTTTTTTTTGTTTTTTTTTAGGAGATAGATGACTGCAACCAAAAAGACCTACGGCAGGACTCGGCAGGTGTCAACGCTCTCACTGCTGAGCAACCTGAAAAGACAGAGGTAAAACAGGATAACCCCCAACCAGCTGCTGCAGGAGATAACTCCGTCATGAGTTTCCTTAAAACACTGGTAAGCTTCTGTGTTTCCTTTTCATCTCTAGGCTATGCTTTCAATTGCTTACAAAAATCCCAAGTGGACATGTTGAGCTAAATGCAACATGTCTGTTGTCACGGGCACTGAGAAGTAATGAAGACAAACAGATGCCTTAGAGAATGACTTGAAAAGTGAGATGTGTAGGTACAGTGCAGTTATGACCAGATGATGATGACCTACTCTGGAAACTTCCTCTTCTGCATAGATACTTGTAGACCTGGAGGTATTTAGCTGTCTTAAGGATTTTCTGCGTGATGAAACTTTATTTTGTAATATCTCTAAAATTTCATTTTTATGGATTAATTGGATGTATAAGCTTGAATAATATATCTTTGGTCCAGATATTTTTCATTTTAGCCGTTGACTTTAAGTTGTTATTGAGAAACATTTATATTATAAATTTTCCCACATGGGGGGAAAGCAATATTTGTACTTCTTTCACCTTTGTGCTAGAAAAAACCCGCTAGTTTCAAGCATATGATCTTTCAGATCTTTTGAAAGACTGAGTTGAGTGTGACTTTGTTTTTCTCAAATACAATTAAGGTCTCTCCAAGCAAAGCTGAAGCCAAAGGTGATTCTGAAGACAAGGTAGGCAGATTCCTCATTCTGTCACTGGTCACTAGATGTTTTTACAAGTATTTTCTCTTCATTGTGTTGCTTTTTACCCAACTAATGCTATCGTATGAAGTAATTTAAAATATTTTTCCCCCTGAATAAATTTGAAAGTAAGATGAGCATAAACAGTGCAATTCTTCATATCATGTGTTATAATCAAGATCTGAACTGCAGCATTTTCTGCAAGGCTGATGGTGACCTGGTAACGCTTTTGGTTGTTGCTCTGACTTGATCTAAAACTATAGGTCCCTGCAGTGGAATCCTCCTGAGTCCACAGAAAGCTCCGTTTGCTCATAGATCTGTGCAAAGCTTCTGGTTTCTCATTCCCAGCTGTGTACATGCATGTCTCCTTTATCTCTCTTCACACCCGCTGGAGCTGCCATGTCCCGGTGGGGAGGACACGCGAGGTCCCCCAGCCTGCGGCAGCTCTGTGGCTAGGTGGGCCGGGGCCGGCTCCCACCGCCTGCCCCCCCCCTCCTGCCTCCATAGCTGCTGCTGGGTCCCGCCTTGGGGTGCAGGAGGGTGGGCAAGGATCAGCTTCCCACTGAAATCAATAAAAAGCAGGAGATCCCAACATTTTCCACGCTGGGACTCTTCTGGCTGAAGTACCCCTGTATGGACTGTGCTATGGTCAGGGCTGGTGGGCTGTTCCTATGCAGCACCTGAAACCCCAGGAAGAGGATGGAGCTCCTCTGAGCAGGAGTGGGACTCGCAGGGAGAGCTGTCCTTCCCTAACTGCTCAGGATCCTTCCCTTGACATGCAGAGATGAGGATCAGGGGATTTTTAAAGTGGGGCAGATTGGACACTCAAGCTGTTCTAATACAATGCATCAGGCTGACCACAAGTGTGTGTGATGTTCCCACTGGGAACTGAAATCCATATTGGATGGGCAGGTACAGAATCAGTCTGAGAAACGCTCCCCCATGTAACTGGCAGATGTGGAGTCTTGCTTTCTTCTTTACAAACCATTTGTTCTTGGATCCGCTGGCAAAAGGAAACTTGTTTTTAGCATCCATGAGCAGTGATGGGCCTTTATATGTGACTTCAGAAAAGCTTCATTATTATAGCTTTCATTTGCTATTAGGGATATTGAAAATACCAGATTGATCCAATGTATTTAACAAACTTGTAAAAAAAAAAAAGCAGAAAATCTTAAACTGTAAAAAAAATTTTAAGTTTAATCTTGAAAAATGTAGGTGTTTAAAGACTGCTCCTTTCCTCTTTTTTCCTGTTCTGTTAGGGCCAAAACTTAAATAGTTTCAACAGAAGCAGAAGTGAGACAATTTGTATTAAGCTGCCTTCTGTGTTCTAGTGTTTCAGTGGCTTACAGGCATATCGCTGACTGCGTAACTGGGAGCTTCCAGATTAAATGTCCTTACACATTATTAAGACTATAATAACTAAAGCTTTTCTTGCAATGCCTGTGATAAAATTTAATTAACACATAAAGAATAAAACCCTAAAAAAGGAAATGGTCTTTTCATGCAACTATTAGGTAGCCAAAATCACTCTAGGCATCAACATTTTTGTTTTCTATCCTATTTTTTACCCGGTTTGTCCCATTCAATTTTTTTATATAGCCTGATACTAAAATGGTGAATTCAGTCTTTCTAGAAAGCTTGGTGAGTACATGGGGGATACACATCACTCCCTGATTATAGCTCAGTAACTCTGGAAATCATCAACCAGAGCTAAGGTCTTCCAAGATATCCAGAAAACATAGTTATCAAATTGCACTGTTTCAGTGAGACTTGTAGCTCTTTCAACAATTTCTGAAAAATCCCGTTGTTCAGTCCTGTTTGCATACCTGACTTTATCAAGCGCACCCATGTGCTCCTGTAACAGGTGACTTGGTGCATGCGTACCGTAATTCAGAACCAAATACGCTGTTGGGTTTTAGTGTGCTATCACACCTGTGAGGGTAAACAAACCCAGATGACTAGCAGGATATGCAAACTCATTATAGAGAGGTTAAATGGGAGTTGGTTTTTATGAAGAATTCCTTTATCTTCACTACCTTCCTGAGAATGACATTTTCACTATGTTAAAGGAAAAATATATTAAAAATTAATTTATCAATAGTCATATAGAAAAGCTGCAGATTTTTCAGCTGATATGTATAATGAAATAATGGTTGCTTCCCCTGAGAAATAACTTCTGTCTTGAAGGTAAAGATGTGTTCGTAAGTAAGGCTTTCCCCTCCATGCAGTCTGAGCCTCTCCTGAGTGCTGTGGGGCTTTCGTGGGGTTTGGCTGGCACAGGGACCGCCGTGCCTTTGAGTCCGGGCGCGTGTTCATTTTGGCTGCTCGTGCACCCCTTCGTGGGGAGGAGTTGGGTTTTGTCACACAAGGGGTGGTACATTCCCGGGGTCTCTCAGCAGTGCTCTCCCATGGCTCAGAGGACAGACAAGCTTTCTCGTAAATCTGAGAAACAGCCGCAGCACGCTTCCGCTTTGCGAAGCACAGCAGCACGCTCCCTCCTGCTGAAATGCAGAGGTGTGCGGCATCAGCGAAGCTGAGCTCCGTGGGTTTTGTAGCAGCGTGCTGTCATCAGTGGTGCCTCTAGCTTTAATCAGCTGGCTAAGGATGTGTGTTTTCAGCAGCCTGGGCACACCCTTAATGACTGTCATTTCATCTGTGTAAACACAGGAGTTTAATATAAGTTTAGTCACACTTCCTTGGATTAATTGATCCTTTGCAAGTTTATACTAACCAACGTGGCATTGGGACCAGACCACCTCTTTGACCCTTCTGTAGCAGATCCTGACTTGTTCCCGCATCACTCTATGTTTGGGAATACTGAGAATGGTACAGAGTACTGCAGGGGAAAATGGCCAATTTTGTGTGACCGGCCACAGCCTCTTCATTGTACAGAGCTCTTTGTAGGAAGCATGTAATTGCACTGAATGAAACAATCTTGAGACCAAGATCTCAACTTCACGTGCTCATACGTGTTACATTCTGTACTCTGGAGCTTTCCTCCTACCCTTTTAGTTGTGGTCAACCACAGTGCTTGGTACTTCACATTGTAAATACTGTAGGCTGATTGTTTCTTTGGAGTTGGGGGTCTCTTCATGCTTCCATAGTTCCTGGAAAATTTTGTCAAATCATTTTAAAGCTTTTTACTGGTTGGAAGCTTTTATTTTTGCCTTGTTCAAGTGTGGAAAAAAAAAAGCAAGTAAGCTCTGAAAGGGATGAGCTAATTACCCAGAGGGTGAACACTTGAGTCATTTGTCACTGAAATATAATTTTTAAAATTTTTATTTCTTCATTATATATTGGCCTAATTCTTAATTAATCAGGAAATAAATTGCCTAAGGGAGATCTAGCAAGGACACTAGCAAGCAGTAAGTAAAGGAAATACTACATCCTCATTCGTACTAGGTAATTACAGAAATATCTTACTGCTTTAAAGCCTGACAATGTGAAACACTGAAGAACACTATCCCATATTAGTTGTGATTAGTCATATGTTATGGGCATATGTACAGCGCAGTTACCATAGAACAGGCTCTTGTGTTAACTTGTTTATATTGAAGCTCAGTTAAGCAACGTTGGATACTTGTGGCTTTGTATCCCCCTCCTTTTTTATTATTGAAAAGGTGAAAATGATGGGGAAACAAGGGGGGGGAAAAACCCTTATTGTTCAGAACATGAAAACTTAAGCTTTTTTCCTGCAGTGATAAATCCAGAGGGTTGTGTTGAAGTTTAGGGGGGAGGAAAATTGAACAGTGACATTTTGAAGAGGTTCTTGAATTTGGAAATGTATCTTTTTCCAATGCTGTGAAAAGTCAAATGGAATATTTTAGCAAATGTTACGCAAGTTTTTCCGAGACTTGTAGAAAAGTCATGTATTTGAGTTGGCCCACCTCTACCCTGCCCACCATGTAGAGTAATTTATTCTGCATTGAGCTGCAGGTAGTCTTTTTAAAAATAGCCTGATGCTGCTTTTTCCATCTAGACATCAATATCAATGTTTTTCTTTAATTTATAGCACTTTAGTGGATTTTTCAACGTGGTGCCTAGATTTTTAGAGATCCAGTCTCTAATGTCAGTGGGCGATGATTACCAAAACAAGTGCCTTCTGCAAACATTTAGAATGCAACAAAAAGGAAGCAGTGCGTTCTGATTCAACACTTCCAGTATCGGTCTGTCATTGTTATTTTTCTGATACTTCTGTTTCTAACTTTTCATGAACATTAGTGCAGATTTGAAATATTTTATGTAGCATAATCATGAATACTCATACTTCCCTTTTCCTAAATAATGCATTATGCAAAACATTCTAAAGTGCCTATAATACTGCAATAAAAAGAATGAAGGTATTTTCAAAGATTTTTATAAACATATAAATCCAAAATTCAGTTGGTTACTCATGAGTTTAAAGTACAGAAGTCTCAGTCTTTGTGGGCTTTGGGTCTCAATTTAATGAAGAATTTGGGGGGCAAATTGTGGTTTTATTTTGAGTCAGCTGGATTGCCCTAGCTTTTATATTTATTTCACTACTCATGTGAAAGAAAGTCTAAGGAGAACTGAGTAATTAGAAGAAAACATAATTTGTTTTCCAGGGCAAAAAGGAAATGTTTGTTTTTAATACAACATGTATGAGTGTTTGTTTTTCATGAACCTAATAAGAACTTTGCAATAAGTACTCAACTTCAAATGCTGTTGTACAAAAGGGATCGAAAGCGGAAAAAGGCCATGGTGGGCAACCTGCTCCGAAGACAGCGGCAGAATCCCAAACTAAAGGAGCCAAGAAAAAGAAGGCAGAGAGTCCCAAGCTAGGACACAGTACATTTAGTAAACTCTTTAGGCATAAGGTCTGTATGAAACTCTAGCAAGAGCAGAACCCTGAGCAGTAACAGATGGCTCCTGTCACAGAGCAAAGTTATTTAATTGGTAACCGAAATCAGCATCTGGCCAGCTGTGCCGTGCTCTGAAAACTACTGGTGTGAGCATTTCTGTGCCACATGTTATGAAAACAATCTTCACCTGCAACATTTCTCTCATTATACCATCTGTGAATTCAGGATTCTGAAACAATTCCTCTAACCTTGCCCGCTATGTGCTTCCCAGTTACACTTACTAACTCGGACTAAACTTCCCTGGCCACTTAAAATAACAATAAAATAAAAGGTACTGACAAACAATGACTTATGCAGATATGAACAGCACCTGTAACTGTAGGACAGGTTTAAGAGTTCAGTCCGACTACAATTAAGGCTTTATGATCCACATTGCCTTAAATGCAGTGCCGTATGGTTAAAATTGGTGATGTGGTGAACTGGGGCATCTGGTATGGCACAAAGGAGATTGGAACACAGAGTTTCCTTCAGAAATAGTTACTTTTCACTCAAAACAAGAAAAGTAATTGTTGACTGAATTCAAAGTTTAATTGAGATAAAGGAAGTTTGGCTTTCAAGGATATATTAAGTTGTTCAAAATGCACACTTTTGGTGCAAATAGTTGTTTTAGAGAACATTATCTTTAAAAAAAAAAAAATCACTGAAAACTTCTCATGAGCTTTGGGCTCAAGGTTCATATTCAGGCATTTCTGCCTTCTCTGAAGAAGATAATCTGCCACAATGTTCTGCGGCAAGGAAGCAGGGAACGATAGCTTTTTAGCCCAAAGAATGCAGAAGCAGAGACCCTGCCACTGGGGGAGGGAAATCATTAATATTTAATGCTCACTCAAAACACCCACGTGGAATTTCTGGTGAGTAGGGGGCTTTATAATCAAGGGCATGAGGCAAAAGAAGTTCTTTAAGATATTAAAAAAAAAAAAGTTCTTTCCACTGTCTCATTTTTGAGATAAAAATGTCATCTGCATATTACTGAAGGAATAATAATCTTCCTGGTAGTTTTAAGTCTACAGTTCTTGCCAACACCTTAAAGTAAAGATCTCATCTTGTATATACTACATTGATAGCTAATAGTTTTGATATTTAATACAATTAAAATACGAATTACTTGTTCATAATGAGGTAGGGCTTCCTGGTAAAAAATATACCTGGCTAGCATTTTTTTTTTAAGGTGCTAAGTCTCTCCTGCAATAATTCAAAATCTTGCAATGAGTTGTTGGGAGACATGGTTCATTTTTATTAGGCTATTTGATAGTATTTTAAAGACTTTTGGTCTGGAATGAAAGCAGTTATTTAGAAGGAATGCAACAGTGCTAAATTTTTACAGTAATAAAACCTGTCTTATAAAATGCTGTTACTTTTTAAATAGTTTTTTCTTGTTTCTGAGTTTATTTTCACAGCTTTCTTTCTACATACAAAATACAGAAGCAATAAGTGGGGTATCTTTTATGACATATTAAGAATAAGAGATGGATTAAAATGGTGCCAAGTTTGCTTGTAAGGCTGATTGAAAGCGGAAGTTCCAATCAGAGCAGTGATGTGACAGGCAAGCCCTGAAGTTATCACCTCTAGTAAAAAAAAAAAAAAAATAGTTCTGTTTATCACTTTTCATCTGAAATGCCTTAGCATGGTGTGTCAACTAGGTGAATAGGTAATGAATTCCTTTATTTGAAATGATCATTTTAATACATGTAGTCATATTTAATTTTAAGCCCTTCACTCTCTGAAAGCTCTGTCTTCCAAAATGCACTTCTTGGTACCTTAGGAAAAGGTTTACTACTAGGTTAACAAACATTGTCTTTCGGTGACCTGTGTTTACATAAATACTAACTTTAAAACAACTTGTGAGTGTTGCTTTCAAATGGCAATGTGCATCCTAATATAAATCCATAACATAAGCTGGTGGAATGGGATTTGGCCATTTGACCTCACAGACTGAGTTTGGATGGCATTTGACAGTTGGTTCATTTATTCCCATCCATGTGTATTTGCCTTGCATTGCATGTCAGTTTGGCAGTATAACTGTACTTATTTATGGAAATTTGACTTGGAAGGGTTAATTGCTTATTTTCAGCATTAGTACTGAAGCCACCTTGTGGCATTACACTACTTTTTACCACTTGCTCTGGATCTTGTTCATTAGGGCTAACCACAAAAAGAAGTTCTTGGCTCCTGCAAAATAACTCTCGCCTATTCTTTCAGGAAATCCGCAAAGCATGCAGCAGGCTGCCTAAACCCGGGGGTGCTGGGCTCACATTTACTTGAGTTTGTGGCTTGCTGCTCCTCTTTTTGTACAGCTCAGATACTCATCTTCAGCGTAAGCTATGCTGGATGTTAGGGTCAATAGATACTGATACGTACCACTGGCTAGAAAGAATTTAGCAAACTGGATTCCTCCTGGCTTTGTGTATTTTGATGAAACCAGGAGACCCATCACTGTGAATGATTTTTTTTTTTTTTTTTTCACAAAAGAGTAAATTCTACCTAATGCACAAAAGTGTGAGTGGATGGACTAAACCAACCTCCAGTACCTGCAGAGCTTTTCTTTGTAGAGCTGCAACTCCTGCTTCTAAGTTATAAAGCCACTGCTGTTTTGTGCCCTTCATTTCCAGGTATCCATCTGCCTATGTTTTGTATCCCACAAAGCAAAGCCTCCTGCTTTGAAGGCTATGTTAGCACATCCCTGACTGGTGTGCAATTCCCGCAGTGGAAAAGACTCAGCTCTGGCTTGTTACTTGTGCACTGAAAGTTGCACACACAGACCCCAGAAAAAAAAAAAAAAAACCCCACACAACAGAACCTCTGCTAATATCTTAAAACCCTGTGTAATGTCTTACCTGAAGAAACTGGGAATGCATATGTAAATACACATATTTTTAAAAGAACAAGTTGAGGACTGCAAGCACAGTAGCATGAGCACAAAGCGATTCAACACAAGGCTGCAATGCTGCTGCAGGTAGAAGGATGTGAGCTGGCAGTCCCTTCAGGCAGCCTTGCCTCTGCCGGAGATCAGTTTCCATGGTTGCAGGAGCCAGGACTTTCACAAACATTCACTAAAAATAAAATAATTTGTGACACAGACAATTCCTGAACTGTGTAACTGTGAGCGCTGACATTGCCAGAGACAGACTTGTCTTTGTGTTTTGTTTCCCTTCAGGCTGCAAAAGAGACCCAACAGACGACTAATACCAAAGTGAGTAGGATGATTCAAGTTATCTGTATGAATAATGCAGTCAAAGGGTAATTATTCTCACTGTCATTTTCAGTCTCAAAGATGCTGGTTTAATTTCTTAATTAATCACCTCTGTTATGAAAGGTGGGTTGCTATGTAATTTGCTTCCTCTGTTCAAGACATTACTTCATTTGAAAGGACAGGGCAATGCAGCTTGTGAGCTGCACCTCGTTGCTTGGTGTGTCCTGTGCAACGGTGGTCCACTGCGCGCTTACCTCTTGTGCCAGGCGATGCCTGAACGTGCTGCAACTATCTTGTCCTTCACACGTTTCCAACAGCCCGTGTGTTCACGTTTCTTTCTAGAGCACTGAACAGCAGCCTGTTACCTCTGTAAAATCGGACAAAAATGTCCCTTCCTCTCAAGAGCCACAGCCAGCTAAGCAGAACACAAAAGCCCCTGAGCCTGCAGCCCAACAGCAAGCAGCGGCCGCTGAAGCCCCCAAAGAGGTGACGAAGGAGAAAGCATCATCCACTCCTACGCCACTAAGCAAGCTCTTTTGGAAAAAGGTATGTCTGGGTTTTGGAGCCGGTCCATCTCACAGCTCCATCTTCACGCAGCGCCTAGAGTTATTGCTAAGCACAAAGTTACAGTAAAGCAGTCAAATCTGCAAAGCTAAATGCATGAGGGCCATAAATGATATATGCAGTTACAAATGCATACGTGAGCTTTGGGTGGCCACATATACACATGGCTAATAATGGCAGTTAGACTCCTGCAGAAGAATCTTACTAAATGGTAGTCTTTTAAACCTGTTTGTACTGTTTTTGAATGATTGTATGGAAGAAGGACTGTTACTCTGTCAGTTCAACACACTTGTTAAAAATCCTACAGAGCTTATAGTATTCTTTACCAAATTATATCATTAATAGAAATAGAGCTAGAAAAACACATCTCATTTTTGAGAACTGTTTGATTTAGTTCTAAGTGTCTGGAAACCTGGAATCTGGTGGGTTTATTCTTACTCAATAGACAAAGTTTCATACCAGAGTGGATCAGTCTTTCACTTTAGGGATTGAGGTCGATTGCCTGGGTAGACATATTTTTCCTCAGGTTAAATAATGATTTTAACTAAAATTGGGACTAACTTTGAAAACATGGTTCCTGTTTCCATGATCCTCAGTGGTTTATAAGCTGAAGGTTTATTCTTTTATCTTTTCGTTTAAGAAAAGAGCTGTATTAAACTTTACTGAATCACTGTATGCTGAATAACTGCTTCCCTGGGCTTCTGTTCAAGTTCAAATCCCAGAAATGAAATGCTTCCAAATGCACAGATGTGGACAGAGTGGCTAGCCCTGCAGCTTCTTGAGCTGTATTTTCCCTACTGGGCAGTGATAATGGAGATACAGTTTGGGGATGTTACTTACATTAAAAAAAAATGAAGGTGTTTAGATATTTACAGAGCAAACATGCTTGAAAACAATCTAAGCTTGAAACATTTGTTACTGAGGACTTAATTTCCTGTGGAACCCGGAGAATCAGGCACTTAAAATGAGAGGAAAGTTGTGAAGAAGAGGGAGAGGGAGGATTTTATATAGTTATTACTGCTACAGAAACCTCCTCCTCTGTCCCAGTAGTCTGGCTTATTTGAAAACAGAGATGGGAAGCAGGATGTGTGGTGAACATCAGGATGCAATAAGAAAAAAGAGGCCTTCTGGCAGATGGTTGTATGCAGTTTCAGTGTAAAACTGAGTAATAAATCTGGTCTGAAGTTCAGTATTTTCATAATGAAGTAACAAGGCTTTTTGTGTATTTGAGAAAGGGGAAAAAAAAAAAGAGCATGTAAGAGGGAAAGTTTTCTTGCAGAAAAACAGCAAAAAATTACTCTGGGAGGGAGCAATGGGTCGTGATGGTTGGTTTAAAAAAAAAATAATAATTTGATAATGTTTTTGTAAGACTTCAAAACCTGATTTTGAAAGATTAACCCAAACTAATGTAGCTATAGATATTTTACTGCTCTGTATAATGTAGGTTCTGCCCACAGTGAACACCAGCTCCCCATATCTCATATTATAACTAAGCTAGGTTCTATCTAACTACCCTGTGTCTTTTTAACCTTGCAACAATCTTCACGTGAAGTTCTGGGATCTCAAACATCTCAAGGGTATAAACCTTGTACCAAAATTCTTTCACTTCTGTTTGTCCAGAATGCTGGGTTTAATTTATCCTACATCATCATTAAAATAAAGCTGCTTATGTCAGTGAATGGAAAGTGTAGAGAACTCTCTGCAACTCCAAGCAGGTTTTGGTTGCTACCAAAAATATTAAGGGTTACTTAAATCATTTACCCAAATGCATTGAACTACAATAGTACGTAAAATCTGACTTTAACTTTGTAAAACAAGGCCATTTCTGCTTAGTTGGAACTTTTTGGGTCTGGAGTGGTCCCAAGACCAAGTCTTTTTGCAAGTTTTCTGGAGTAAATTTCTGCAGTAGAGAACTGAATTTGGTCTAAGGATTTAAAAAAAAAAAAAATCTGCCTGTTTGAGCATTGAATCCTTACCTATAAGAGGCTGATGTTGCTTTAATGGATTTTTATTGACAGAGAATAATATTATATTTCCTTTGATGAAAGACCTTGGTGACCCAGTCAGCTTGAACCTAAAAAAAAAAAAAAATTGATGTGTAAAAAAAAAAAAAAAGTCCTTGGACTACAGGTTAGTCCCAAACTCAGCTTGGTTTGAGGATTCTTTTTTTTTCTGCAGTGATTTTCTCTTTCTTTCTGGCACCCTTAATGTACTGTCTTTTTGCTAGAATAGAGAATCGAAGCTAGCAACTGTTCCGAAGGTGTATAATTCAGTCATGTAGTTTTTCCTTTTGAACTAACAAATAGCAACCACAACACTCAATAGATCCAGGATTCAGATCCAACTTTTCTCTTTCCAGGCAGTCTCTCAAATATCTATCTTCTGATGAGCTTTCACTTCAAAGTAAAGCTAATGAAGTGCCTGTCAACACATTGCAGTTAATGCTGCTGCTGCGACTACAGATGAATAAATATGTAAAAGAGAAAGAAATAAAATCTTTATTCAACTCCTCAGATGGAAACCACTCTATTTGCCCCATTTCCTGATCAGTCTGCACAAGAATTTTCATAACTGTTACTCAAATGTTTGTCATCCTAGCATTTTTTTCAAATACTAAGTAATATTAATAGAAAACTACAGCTAGTAATTTCACACATCTGCATTGGAAACCTGGTTTTCAAGACCTTGTAGATACCGGATCAGGGCAGAGAAACATGATGCTTCATTTATATCTGATCAAAGCATGCCAGTAAATGATGGAGGAAAGTGATTGAGGGGGTAATATTTAGACTGCTCTGTAAATTACCTTTAAAAGTGGATATATTAAAAACTAGAATTTTAAGCTGTTGTAATTCTGTTGCCATACAAACACAGAAAAATCACACCCTTTCTACTGAGGGGTATTTATGCACTGGTAATAGAAACAGCAAACTGGTTAGACATTAAGTGAAGCAGGACACCTTTTATTGCTGAGCCTGCAACCATATTCTGCCATAGGAAAGCAAAGATAAATATTTGGGTGGAGTGTGTGAGGTAGATCTTAAAATTACTGAGGACTTATGAAGTTCCCATATATTCCAGGATGGGAGCATCTTACCTGCTCCCATCCTGGAATATGCTGCCTATCAGGCAGGAGAGAAGGAGATTCTGGCCATTTTTTTCTGGGTAAATAGATGAAGAAACTTTTAAAGAGAATTCCCTTGGTTTAGGGAGTGAGGAGGACAATAAGCAAGGAGCTTTTGGAGGCCATTTGACAACCTGGCTGCTGGCACAGGGGCCGTCCTTGCAGCAGGGAGGGCCCTTAACTTCCTCAACCCAGCAAACCAAACCAATAGGGCTTGTGGGTCAGAACCATGCTCCTGGGCTGTTTACAGACCCGTGTAGTTTAACTATAAGCTGACAGGGGTTAAAACTAATTAGTTAATAGTCTGAGCTGTTACAGCTCAAGATCTGCTGAGCGGCACCTTCAGGCAGCAGGTGTAGGTCACAGGGGGCTTTGGGGTGGAGGTCTGAGAGCATGGCGATGGCTGAAGCTGAGCTACCTTAACTGCAGCAACCTCTGTCATCTTTGCATTGGCAAAGGAGGGCAGAAAGGAGGATTAAAGTCTCTCTAACCCTCTCTGCTTCCTGCCTGTGAGTTTGTGAGCGGCAGGAACAGATCTCAAGCATGACTGCTCTTTTAAGTGGAAATTTCTTGAGCAAAAGGTTATCTCTCATATATTGTTAAGAAAAAAGAAAAGCTGCTTCATAAGGAAGGTATGACCCAGGAAAAACAGAAGAACTGTTCCTTGAGTCTAATGAAATGCAGTAGAGAGTGTCAATTCAGACTCTAGCACAAGATCAAAGCAGGGTATAGCGTTTACCTCAATTTTGAGGAAAGATGCAGCAAGCAAAAGGAAAACTCCTATCAAAGTTATCCAGGTCACAAAATAATTTACACCTTCATAAGGCAACAATTTATATGGTCAGGAACCTAGATAAGAAAATGGTGTAGCAATAGTTCCCCAAAACAAAAACCAGAAGAAGACTTAAGGAGTAGACACAAACTCTCTACCATAACTGTTTTAAGTAAGCTTATTACTAGGAGAAAACTAGGGACACCATCATTTAAGAGATGGAAGAATGCTTCCCAAACACAGGGAAACAGAGCCTAGTAAAAAGTAAAATACTGTCTGTATTTTACATAATAACAGTAGCTGCTGACTTAGGTTGGATTTATTATAATTTGTGTCTAAGGAAACTTGGGGCAGAATTTGGATCCATGAGTCCAGCAACTTCAGTTGATGTATTTTATAGGTATAAGATGATAACTTACATTTATGAGAATGCTTATGCATTAAAGACTGATGAAGCTGATAGAGCTGGGCTGTTTGCAAATTATTATTATATACAAATTGCAATTTTGTCCTAAAACAAGTCACAAAACTTGATATAACTTTTGTCTTTCTCCCCAGTGAAGTAAAGAAGTAACTTAGTCCATCACTTTAGAGAACCATTTAGGTTAATGTAACATCATTCAAAGTTTATTGACTTTTTATCTTTGTCAAGCTCTTCCTGTTACACTTTAAGTTCCTGCCAGAAACACCTTGGTGATTCTCTTGAATGCACAAATCGAAATTTTTCTTCCAAATTTTTCTTCCAGTTTCTTAGTGGGGGCGGGGGGGGGGGAAGGGAAAAAAATTAAAAACTCTGTTCTTAAAAGTATGTCAGAAAACCTTCTTAGCTGAAAGGGGTTTTCCCTTCTACTAAAAGACCATGCACAGGCATTCTCTGCATCTCTGAAGTATATAGAATACCATAGTCATGTGTCATCAGTCTCCAAGAATCTGTCACCTTGATCAGTCTTATTTGAGAGGATCTTGTGATGTCTCTAGAGTTTCCTTTTGTCCCAGCATATCTGAATACCCTGATCTGATTGTACAGAAGTTGTGGAACCTCCAGCCTTGGGGATACTAAAAGCTCAACTTGACAAGTTCCTCTGCAACTTTGAGCAGGAAGTTGGACTAGGCCTCCAGAGATATCTTTAAGATCACAAAATCATAAAAGAATCAACATCAGTTAAGGCAGTCTTACAGGAGGAGATGGGTATACAAGAATGATTCTGGGAGAAAATGATAAGAAAATTACCCTAACATTTTTAATAGCAAGCCTAAGATCTCAAACAACATAATCTGCAACTTCTGCAACAACTTTGATATGCATAATAGTATCCAATTAAAGTAACTGCATATGTACACTGGATATCTACGTTTAAAAAAAAAAAGTAAAAATAAGGTATTCTAAAACAAGATTTAAACTTTTCTAAAGCCTCTTATGGAATCCATCAAGAAATGTACAATAAGTCACTGATTACTTTAAACAAATCAATCTCTCTGAAGAGTTGGCTACCACTTAGCTCTTTTCTTTATTTAAATAGGCGGTGCTTTTCAGAGTTTAGCATCTTGCCCCAGGATGCATTTCTTACCAGTAGTGACACTAATGCTGTTGCATAGACATAGCTTGAGAGACAAAACTCATTTGGGTTGCAGCTGTAACAGCGTAGCAGTAATATGATCCCGAACTGTAAACTTTGAATGATGAGCTCCCAGAAGCTAGGCTGTTGCTTTATTGAGCCACTGTTTCAACTCATGCAATGAATCATTTCCTTCAAGCAAATAGATGGTGAATTGATTATATGTATGTGTGAATAGGCAGAAATATAGATTAAAATTACTATAGATTATCTCAAAAATGTTCATAAATATAAATTAAATCTACAATTCCATGGGGAAGTGGGCTGTGCTGCAGTCATCTCAGGCAGCAGGGGACAAGGAATATTTATTCCCTCCTCATTCTTCTCACCCCACCCCCAAAATGCTCATTTCTTCCACAAAAGAGGGATAAAGAACAAAGTCAAGGCTCTCACGCTGCTGTAGAAGTTCATCTTGCATGTGGGAAAAAAACCCCCCCCCCCCGCCCCCAACTCAAAAAGAATGACAGAACTAAAAGGTAAAATACTGAGAGAAAAATGCATAAATATATTGAATGGCTTCTGTATCAAGAACTACATAAATTAGGATTTTTTTTTTTTGGCTCAAAGGAGTTGGCAGAAAGGAAGATGAGTAGCATACAGAATGACTACTGTAACATAAAAGATGAACAAGAAAGATCAGTTGTTGCTCAAAATAAAAGTAGAGAGTATCAAATGAAATTATTTAGTGACAAACAAAAAGTACTTTTTTAAAAAAGCATACTTTAGATGTAGAATTCTTTGTCACAGGATGCAGCTGGATGTCAGGAATTTATATCAATTCAGAAATTGTGTAGCTAAATTTCTGTAGGAAAAAATCCATCAAGAGCTATTAAACTAAAGTTATTATGTGGGAATCACTGAGTTGAAGACAACTGGAAAAGTATGTAAGGGCAGGAGTACTGCAAGCTGCTGTTGGAGGAGGCATTCATTTTTGCCACTGAGACAGGATCTGGGGCTGCAGAGAAACTTTGGTGTTACCTTTTAAATCGTTCTCATGTATATGTGGCTAAAATTAATTTGGTCAAAATAACTATGAGCATGCATTACATGTGAGTTCCTGTAAGCACATGTAAAAATTGTGAAATAGAAGTAGAGGCTATTTACAGCAGTTCTTTCCTATAGTACCCACAGTATACATTTCAGCTCTAACTACGCTGTTTTTTAAAGCAGCAGCATGTGTTGAAATGCCAATACCTAGGGTAACTGCTTCCATTTGATTCAGTATTGCAGGCTGAGGGTGCAACTTATCCGGCTTTCGTAAGGTTCTGTACCTTTCTGCAATAAGCTGCAGAATGATAAAGGGCTTGCTTCAGGTCAAATTAGCTGGTTATTAGCATAATAGCTTCTTTTTATGGCAGAAGGGAAGATACTTCTTTATACAATTACAGTGGGATGGGAATTAATTAGTAGTTCTTGAAGGCGCAGAAGAATGTTATTTACCAGGGCAGAAGAGTCAGCTAAGGAAATGCATGTTCAGCCTCCTGCCCAGCTGTGCCTCCACCTCCTGTGGCAGAAATGTGCCTCCCGTTCACGCGCTCTGCACTGCACGGGTCCTGTTCGGTAAAACACGTTGGGCATTCCCAGGATAGCCTTGAGAAGGCTGTGGAATGAGATGTGCAGGAGATTAGTCAATAAATCTTATGGGGATCCATATTTCAGAGGAATTTACAAACCGCATGCCTCTGGTTGAAGTACTATTGTGACAGAAGGAACTTTCCAGTAATTCACAAAAGCTCAGTGGGACCCAAAAATCCTTCTATAATGGCAATGTTGTGAGTATCCAGCTGCTTTTCTTGAATTCAAATGAGGGTCATCGCTATCAGAGGGTGACTGTGACCCATAGCATTAAGTGAAGTAACAGATGAGCTACTTAACTACCTTGTACCTCGAGAAGTCATTTCTATCTTTGCAACTGGGAAGAGGAGCTGGTGCTGCAAATGTGACCAGCCTGAGAATGCTGTGGTTGGGACATTGCACTTCTGCATTTCACTCTGAGAAGGGCACTAAACAGAGTTTTAACACTTGATGAAGTCCATGGTGTGTTTTAATTAATCCTGTTCTTTCTTCTGTGTGCAAACTCCTGGGTATGATCTTTCTCATTTTTACTGGTTTTATCTGTGTCATCTACTCATGGCCACATACTACTGCAAGTGTAAGTTATTTTACATTTTCTTTTTAAATCGTGATCAAAGATAAATTATTGTGTTTGGGAACGGGTACTGCCATTCAAGAAAGGCAGTTTCTTCAGTTTAAGCAAGTGCTTAAAATCCCACCAGTTTATATACTTTTTTTGAATGGGGATGAATCAAATTCCCGAAGGAACCCATACAGATACAGTGATGCTGAGAACGCTTTTGTGCCACGCTTGTTCGTGAGGTACCAACTTACTGTACTGCTGAAGCACTTTGATTGGAACCTCTTTAAGAAAAAACCCAAAACGTCACTGAACAAGACTATGGTTTTTTTTCCACTTTCTTAATGTTTGCCCAAAATAACCCCAGAACGCGTCGGAAGAAGCAGAGATCGTAAGCGGTGAAAAAGCAGACGCGTCTTCAGAAGCTGCGGCTCCCGACAAAGAGGGGAGCGAGAGCCCCGAAGCTGCAGAAGCGAAGCCCAGGAGAGAAGAGAGCAAAACCCCCAGGGCCAACCTGAGGAGGCTTTTTAAGCTGGTAAGCAGAGCCCCGCGTGCTGCACCCCCCTCTCGTG